GTTTGTTTAAAAATACGGTGGTTCGCTTGGGTATGTCTAGCTTAAATGCCGCCTGCTTTTCTTTCTTTTAAAAGTTAAAGTTTGGGACGTGTCGTTTGTTTAAAAATACGGTGGTTCGCTTGGGTATGTCTAGCTTAAATGCCGTCTGCTTTTCTTTCTTTTAAAAGTTAAAGTTTGGGACGTGTCGTTTGTTTAAAAATACGGTGTTTCGCTGGGGGCATGTCTCTACTTGTTTAAATGCCGTCTGCTTTTCTTTCTTTTAAATGTATCACTAAAGTTTTGCCCTAGCTTACGTTCATACTGCTATATGTTTTATTATTCCTTAAAAACGTTATTAAAAATAACACATTAATAAAATACATGTAATGTATTTTTATTCTATTAAAGTTTAACAACCACCAGACACTACGACCCCCCTATCGGCAACACGTGGCATAAGCATGTATACCATTTGGCCAAAACCCCCTCCCCATTGGCCAAAACCCCCCTCCCCACCGACCAATCAGAACAAAGGATACGCCCACCTCCCGCTTATGACGTCACAGATGGGAGAGAGCTTTAAGCTCCGCCCACAAAATAGGCCCCGCCCAAGGTACCAACTAACCTCTCTAACGTAGCATCATTATCACTTTCAGTTCAACTGTAAGTGCATTTTTAGGTGACGTACGAGATTGTATCCGGTTAGGTTGGTAACAAAAAGAATGTCCTCATGATCGAGCCTGTACCTTTTTATCAATTCATTATTGTCGTACGTCTACAGGACATCCTTTCTTTGATGGAAAGTGCGCAGTCTCCGTCTGGGTGCGCGTAGTGCAGCTGCCATCATTCAACTCATAACTGGCTTAGGAGTCCTCTCCAGCTCTCTTAAATAATTTAGGAGCTAAGACCAAGTCTTAACACTTAAGAATGTTTATGCATGCCACTTATTCTTAAGTCTGGGAGTAGGAGCAAAATCATGTCACTCTTAGAATTGTGACGCAATTAAGAGTGAAATTTTACTCTGAGAAGTTTTATGCATACCGGCCCAGGTAAACTATGTTTGACTGGATTACTTAAGGAGTGACAGGTATTACACTCCAGCACAGTAGGTGGCGATAATGCAGCAATTGTGCAGTAAAATTATTATTATTGCCATGCCTAGCCTCGAACGTCGGACATCATTAGGGCTGAAGCAGACGGATGTCAAGGAGTTTGAATCGGTGAGTTTTTTTAATCGTCTATAGTCCTTGTCATTTTTTGTGTTAATATGTCTGTCATTTATGATGTAGCTTACAATTATTATTATGGACAGTGTGCTAGAAAATATAAAAAAAATTCATTTTATATGCCTTTTGCAGAGTGAGAGCATTGAACTCAAAAGGGACAGTGTCATTATAAGTCTATGTGTCTACCTCAATGAAGACAGCAACACGCTCATCAAGCAGTACTTGGTCAGTAGTACCATGTTAGTGTGAGATTTTAAGATTTAACTTAAATTTGTAGTATTTGTTTTGTGTGTTGTGTTTGCTTGTTTGCGCCATGACTGTGTTCGTTTTTTCCACTATTAGCTTCCTCACCATTGACATCCTAAGGGGGAGATCTCTCAGACCACAGTGAGGATTTCTGTGATTCGCAGTGAAGGTGCTGGTAAAGAGGATAAACCAGAGGATGTCGGAGTGGTGACTGAGGGTGAGAAACACTTTGATGGCAGGAGCAGTAAGCTAGGCTCACTGGCATGGCAGTCACAGGGCATAACAGCATTAATGCTACTTTTTTCACACAGTTGATGATAAATAATTGATTCCCTTTTGTTTTCTTTTAAAATCTGTTTCAGGTAAACATTTTGGTGAGCCTGATGTGCGTGACTGCACTTGGCGTGTATTAAGGAAGGCGTTCTCAAACACGCTGGCAAAGAAGCTCAACTGGAGGGGGGTTAATGGAAAGACTTCTTTGGCCTCCCTTAAACTGAGAGAGGTAGTGATTGGTGAGTATATTTGTCTGGACATACAGTACAGAAGGTCTCTCTCAGATGACATGTTTAACNCGGGATTTTATTTGTAGTCCTCATTTCACTACACTTAAATGCTGGCTCCGTCAGCACTTAGGAATTGGGCTTAGACTTTGCTGAAAGTTACTTTTAGCAGCTTTTTACAATGCTCTTAGGTCCTACATTTTACTAAGATGTTTTTAACTCTTAAGTCCAAGTGTACGACCATTCTTAATTAAGACCATTCTTAGGAAGTTTTATGCATACCGGCCCAGAAGTCAGAAATTTGCAGAGAGCGACAAGTTTTTTATCAGTTAAGACAAAATTGTAAGTGTTAGCTTGCTAGTGACGTACTGTATTATCTCTTTTCAGGACTACTAACGTTATAAAATCCATATTCTTCTTAAGGCTTCATCTGACTAAAGTTAGCTAGCATAAGACTGACATTTCTCATTAAACTCATAATCTATGTGCTACATCTACGGCATCGTGGGGTAAAGTATAAGAATAGCCAAAATAAATATTAATATAACTCATATTAAATACTATAAAATAATTTTCAATGATATATTAGTACTTACAGGTTAGCACTGCTGCCTCACAACAAAAAGGTGCCGGGTCCATTCTGTGTAGAGTTCGCACTCTCTCTCCGTGTTCGTGTGGGTTTTCGCCGGGGGCTCCAGTTTCCTCCCACGGTCCAAAAGCGTAAGCAATCATGTTGATAGATTGTTTAAGCTATTTTTGTAAACAATTAGACTAATATTTTTCATTGATTAATAAGAATTAAAATGAAGTGTCACTTACCAGATGGTGTCGAAAAAGGGGTCGTTTGGCGCCGTCGTGGCTTCACATCACTGATGACAGTCGGCCTGTGGCCATTCCACAGGTAGTGGGCCATTGGCTGTTAAAATGTATCGGGCCGTGTACCGAGTAATGTCCGTATATCGTGTTGACTTTTTTTTTCGCCGCGAAACGGCATGACACCAATCTATGTCCGTTCTATTAGTATCGGGCCACATACTGTATTGCACCTTTTTGCCGCATAACAGCCCAGCTACACCAAACAACGGCAGGGAAACATCAAATCATAATCGGGCCAATTAAAATACAGTGTAGTAGGGCCGACTACACCATGTCAGACACAGCCCATTCAAGAGATACAGTGCTTCAGCCGACCCGGACCTCAGCCGATAGTGCCAACATTCAGCCGAAATCGGGCCGACTGTGCTTGCTATCTGGGTAGTGAAGACGCTCATAAACGTTTGAACAATGTTGATGTCATTGTGAACACGTGATCTAAA